TACCTAACTAAGTTCGATACTTAGTGAAGGTTTCATTTGTTAGTCTGCCTGGGTAATACTCGGATCTCTTGTTTATTTAAGTTTGATTTTGTTTATTCAACTGCTTGACTATCCGCCTGGGTAATACTCAGACGGATTCTCCATTTATCTAACTAAGTTTGATACTTAGTATGATACTATCCGCCTTGGTAATACTCAGACGAATTCTTCATTTATCTAACTAAGTTTGATACTTAGTATGAGCAAATATTTGTCTGTCCGTCTGGATATTACCCAGACAGACTCGTATGCTTAAAAAACTAAGTTCGATACTTAGTGTAAATTCAACACTGATTAAGAAACTAAGCACAAAAACGTTTAGTGGCTACACAACCGGTCTCAAAAAGGACCAGAGGCTAAAATGGCCGGATGGTTGCTATTTTTATAAAATCGCCTGTCCCAACATGGACAAAGGCGTCCGGCGACACCCCTCCGGGTGCAATCGTCGCAGGGAACAGATTATCTGTCGGTTCTACGTATCCATGCAAACGGAAAAAATTGAACGACCAAATTGGTCAACTCATAGCCGTTTGACTAAAATAACCTACGAAGAACGAATAAGTTCCTAAATACCGGATGCCCACAGGTATCAGTCGGTAACCGGCTGAGTTCTCACAAGTTATTTATTTTAAAATTGCACCTCACCCCAATTGGGGCAAGAGTTCAATGGCTATGAAATCTCTACCAAGACGGGCATAAGCCGTCTGTGTAGTGACTGAAATGCCCGTTGGTGTACGGCTGTGCACTTGGTTTGGGGCAATCACTACTGTGATTGATTGACTTACAAACATATCATGCTCTTTGCAGCATCAGACGTTTTTAAGTTAATCAACCAGCTCCAATTGAAACCAATCACACAGCCGTCCAGGGGCAAGGACAGCCGGACTACTGATTAGTTAGGCAAGAATTCGCCGCATGCTTTTGATAAGTTAGGCAAGAAATCGCCGCATGCTTTCGATAAGTCAGGCAAAAATTAAAATTTGCAAAAAACAAAAATTCAAAAGCTAAATGATCAAAACCGACCTAGTCGGTGCAATTCATAAAAGTTCATCCAACCAAACGGTTGTAATGGATCAAATGTTAACCGGACCCCGTCCGGGAGAAAGAAATTGTTAATTAACCCGGCTCCATAGCCGGTAAAAACACAAATACTCGGCACGCAGGCCGGAAAAAGCAAGTTTTGGCATACAGCCGCTGAATAAAAATTAAAAAAGCAAACTGGCATACTGCCGCTGAGGGGTCACTTCTGGCTTGCGGACGGAGCCTCCTGGTTCTCCCCCTTCTCCTCATCATCTGAGGGAATTTGGTGCGCTTCGCCGGGGCCAGGAAGCTCAGGCGGGGTTGGCTCACTGTTGCTGAGCCAGGCTTCAAAGGAGGCAGGCTCTGGCTCACCTTGCTCTCTCAAGTACACCACGTACTCGGCATAGCTGTGTGCCATTGCCCAGATGCTATAATCAGGTTCTGGGTACAAGGCAGCCCAAGCAATCTTCATACGGGCCTCCGCCTCCAGGGTTGTTGCAAAGTTTTTCTGAGCTTGAGCAGCATCCTTCTCCAGCCTCTGAACCTTGGCTTTCAGTTTGCCAAGGTCCGCCTGGGCCTTCTTGAGCGCCTCATCAGCCTGCTTGGCGCTCTCGTCTGCCTTCTTCTGGGCCTCCTTCGCCCCCTTCTTGGCCTTCTCAGCATCCGTTGCCCGGTGGTCGGCCGCCTTCAGATCTTCTCCAGCTGCTGGATTTTAGAAGCCTGTGTCATCATTATTGCTTTAGTTTCAAGTTCATTTACGATAGTCGAGTGTAAAGCAATATTATCAGCGTCTATGGCGGACTTCTTGGCCCTTTTTACCTCTTCCCGTTTGCGGGAATAAGGACGTTTGAGCCCGTCCACTCGCAGCATGGCCTGCAAAAGCAGGCGGTATAAGAGTTACAGGCGGGATAATTACTTGGAAAAAATAACATTGAATTGACAAGTTTCTTACCTCAGCCAGAAGGGATAGAATGAGTTCAAGATTGAACGTCTCTATCCCAGGGATATTGTCCTTATCCCTCTTCCGGACGGCATTTAGCATGGCCTTGGCGTGCTTCTGGACGTCTGGCCAGCGGGGAGATTAATCTGCACCACAATCAACACGTGATGAGTGCGAAACTAAGGCATCACTTATCTGTTGCCGACCGTCTGAGGATGACGTCTGTTGGGAGTGGGATTTCACCCGTAAAGGCCACCCCAGCTCAAGCGGGGATTCAAAAGGGTTCTTACCTTCAGAGCTGGCTAAGCGGGAAACTCTTGCAGGCGTGGTGAACCCCGTGGCTGCTGATAAGGGGTTGACAAGATCAAGGCCCACGCTGCCGCCTACCTTCTCGAGTCGCCCCGCAACCCGCATCGTCTTAGCCCCGGCTGAGGCGCCAGGAGTTGACGCAGAGGCAGACTTTTTTATTTTATTGAGAACGGCTGGGGCCTCCTCTCTAGCCCGTTTGAGATTCTTCTCAAACGATTTCCCAACTTCTCCCCCCTGTGAAAATACACAAGTAAAGGTTAGTATCCGGGCAAGACAATTTATAAAATAAACTTAAGAAAGGGTCAGGCGCTCAATACCTTGGCCCTGAGCTCGGCCGCAGCTTTCTCCGCAAGATCTTTGCGGATGGTCGCAGAAGACCGCTTGGGAGTTTTCTCCGACTGCAACATGTTTAGCGCTTCTTCTGCAAAAAAAAAAAGAAAGAAATTGATCAGAATCATAAATCAATTCCGATAGAAAAATACTACAGACGGTGTGAACCCAGGTGCATACGTTTATTAAACATTTGTCCTAGCCCGCAGGCGGCTAGGAAACATTCATCCCTGAACCAGGCGCTCTTGGTAATCCAATTCTTAGGGACTTTTATTGTTTCCCCGGTTGACAGAGTTGCGTCAGTGAGGCCGAAAAAGTCTGCCTCGATTATTTTGTCAAAGTCTTCCTCTGGGATCCGGGGAGGAGCGCACTTCCTGCCCAACAAGTCGGGCTTCTTATTATACAGACGGAATTCATAATTTTCCCGTCTGGTTGGGGCTGACATCAGGTAGAACCTGTGCTTCCAGCCATCGAACTTGGAGACCTTGTCCAAGGTCATCATGTATTGCGGCTGTGTGGTTAGAGTATACCACGCCCTCCAGCCGCCTGGGCTTCTGCTGAGATAATGCATGCTTGCAAAGGCCTCCCAGCCGGGGTTAAGCCCTTGGAACTTGCAGGCGGCAACATACCCCAAAATGTTTGTCCAGGAGTTGGGGGTAAGTTGCCAAACCCCAAGGTCGTAGCCTCTGAAAAATGCCTTCACCGCCTGGTGAAGGGGGAAGCGAAGGCCGGCTTTGAACGCCGCCTCATAACAGCTAAAATAGCTGTTGGCGTTCTCTTGATCATCCCCCCAAGCGATGGTGCCCAGCTCAGGCGGCACCCGGATCTTATACCCGTCTCCAAGCGGGTGCATTTTCTTAAAGTTCTCTAAGTTCTCCCCCATCTGGATTCGGTCCTTGGAGGAGACGTGGATGCTGAAGGGATCGTCCTTCTCATTCCACTTTTTCCTTTCTTCCTCCTCGCTATCCGGAAGAGGGGGCAAGTCATCGCTGCTCTCGGAGGTAGAGGCGGAGCTGTCGCTCTCCGTTTCCCCCTCGCTTTGGTCCATGGGGGCAGAGGCGGCCTCGTCGCCGCCTTGGTCACACTCTTCCAAGAAAGAGTTAGCAGGGGTTGAAGGGGCGCGCGGAGGGGATCTCTCCAGAGCCGTCTGGTCTCCCTGACCAGATGATTCTCCCCCAGGCGTTTGGCCGCCTGAGCCTTCGCTTCTATAATTCGGATTAGTGGCCGTCTGCATTGTCCGAGCCATGGTGTCCTGCACAGACACATAACTGGTCGGAATCCATGGCAAAGGGTGGTCCCAACACCCCGAGCCGGCACTCCCAGTCCTAGACTCAGCCGTCCCTGGTGACCGGCTGGACTCTAACCTAGGCTGCGCCGTGTGTGTTGGTGTTGCATCCATTTATTGCAAGAAATATGTACAAACGGTGAAAAAAGAAAAGAGCTGAGAGAGACAGAGACGGTACCTTTGGATTTGATATCTGAAGGAAGGCGGGTCCGGCTGGGTTGCGGAAGAACAAAGTTTCTTGCTCGCGCCTGACTAAAACGGATGTCTTCTGCTCTCTCGAAGTTTCTCTCTAGAAAATTTTTGTAAACGTGCAAATTTATGAGGGTAAAACGGCTATATATAAAGGGTAAATTTGGGGGCATTTCCGTAATTTACCCGGAAGATGAACGGTTACTCCTTAATGGTAAAATTACCGCCAATCGGAGCGTGACACATGTCACAGATGCCACGTGGCGTGCCACGTCACATCTGTGAGGGGCAAATGTTTAGGGTAATTTACCCAGCCACGTGGTCCAATCAGAGGATGACACGTGTCAGCCTCAAGATGGCCCAAAGTGGACCAATCCCTGCTTGACACGTATCACTCCAGAAAAATAAGGGAAAAAGGCGGCCTTCAGGCCCAAATCCCGAGAAAGCCGCAAAGCGGCGCAGCCCACCAATGATTAGGGTTCAGTGACCTAATCAGGGGCACAATTCCCAAAGACCATATAAATAGGGAGATGTCCCTCATTTTGAAGACACGTTTTACCATTTATTACACATTTCACTCTTTGATAGAGACATCCTGAGCTTGGAATCCGAGCGGATCCCCACTTAAATTTTCGCACCTTTTTTCTCCCTTCAAGTTTCTAACTTGTGCGTCGGAGGCGGAGCACCACCCAATTGGTGTCTCCGTTTGTTTTGCAGGTACAGCTCACCCCGGATCAGTCTTCGTGTTGTAACTCTCCTGAGGGACAAAAACACCCAAAACAAAAACGACTTGAATTAACTGGAATAAAACATTTTTAGATAAAACATAAAATCACCTGAAATTTTAATTATATAAATATATTTTATCCATACTTCTAAAATGGTTTATTCCAGTTAATTCAAGTCGTTTTTGTTTTATTATGTCATGCTGTTTTTGATTGATAAACCTTGCTTCGAAAAATGTAAATCACTTCTCCAACAAATACAAAATCTAAAAAAAAAACAACCAATTTGAACCCATTCCAAAAATATGTACGTACTTTGTAACTAGTAAATTCAACTCCATAAATTCAACCCCTTAGCAAAATGGACAGGTAGGGCAAAGAAAGGTAATTAATTGAAAAGATTCAACCCATAATTATATCTAGTCTAATCCAATTAATACTTTTAATTAATCTGGAGCTTCCTCTCTACTTCTTGGTTCCTTCACTCAGTTACCAACCACTTTATGCTCAGGAACTTGCCCACTTAAAAACTAAATAAAAAAACAAAAAATCTTAAATTCTTCATCACTCGGTAGAAGTTATTGACAGTTGTGCTAATATAAAAATTGAAATTGTATTATTATAATAGGTTTTCTTGTAAAGGTAAGGAGAAGACGTCCAATCAATCCATAAACCTCTACGGGTCAATCCCATACGTGTTAATAATAATAATGGATATCAGGATATGCCAGATATTGACAAGTAGTAGATGAGAGATAATACAAAGAAGTACGTATAAAGCCCAATTATGCAACATAAGAGACAATATCAATAGTTATTAAATATGAACTAACCAACTAACTACAGCTGAGACACAAGGAGGGAAGAGCTGCTGTTATTTTGTTATTATTATTAGTTCCAATGTATTTGGTCTAATCATTTTTACATTTTGTATAGAAGGATTTGTATTCATTGTTGAAGCTAAAGATGGGGAAAACAGGGAAATGGTTCAAGAGTTTTCTTGTTGGAAAGAAAGACAAAGGTAGTGGGAAAGATCAAAAGTGTATTGGAAGTAATAATAGTAATAGTAATACTATTAATCAGGAGTCCGTTTCGACGGATCATCCGAATACTACGACTCCGGTGGTGGCGGTGGCGGTGCCAAGGCCGACGACTCCCAAAGAAAAAAAGAGATGGAGTTTCAGAAGATCATCTGCTAGCAATAATAGTAATAATAATAGTACTAATGCTAATAATGCCAAGGATCAAAATTCTGCTGATGCTGCTAATGTTCAGAAATCTGAAGTCCTGCAGATGGGATCTTTGGCGGGTGCAGCGCAGGATAAGCAACCGGAGGAGGTGGAAGCCGAGACCGGTGTAGTAGACGATGTAACAGTTGAAACTATAGAAGGGGAAGTTGTAGTGATTCCTATGGAAGATTGCGGCGATGATGGCAGAGATAGCGTTGTTGAGGAGGCTGCTGCTGTCAAGATTCAGTCGGTGTTTCGCTCGTATCTGGTATGTATATTATCCTGTGATGTGATTGTTGAGTTTTACAGTTTCAATTGGATTGCAATAACAACAAATCAAAAAGTTCAGTGTATGTTTTTTGGAAGGAAGAATAAATGGTCAAATTACAAAATTGACTACAGAGAAAAAAAAATATGACAATGACAGTAGCAGTGAAACAGGGGTATACATATATTATATGAAGGATCAAATGTATGTAAATTTTATCAAAATTGTGATTAATAATGTTATATTATCGTGTCCAAATTTGCAATACAGGCAAGAAAGGCACTGAAGGCATTAAGGGGATTGGTGAAGTTGCAGGCATTGGTAAGGTGTCATTTGGTAAGAAAGCAGGCAACTGCAACATTGAGATGTATGCAAGCGCTTATCACGGCTCAAGCACGAGCTCGAGCTCAAAGGATCCGATCAGGAGAAGACGGGACGGTAAATCATAGGCAGTCTACTCACCGACGAAATGGCCAAGAGAAGATCAAGCAAACGAATTATGTTAGTATGCTTTTATTTGAGTTTTCTAGTTCATAATTTGCATTGATATCTTGACATGTATCACAATCAAGTAATGCTTAAAACAGATCATACAAAACCAATCGAATTGATTTATTTCGGTTTCTTTTCTTTTTATTTATTTATTTATTTTTTTAATTAAGTTTGCACTAGCTAATGTGTTTTAATTAATTATGGCTAGCGCTACCAAAGAAAGATCCGAAATTTGCATTCTAGATCAATCTAACAAATTCATTTACATGATATTTTTGTTCTGCCTAATTGCTTCTCAATTATTGATCAAATCATGTTCCCTTTGTCCTGATTTGGAAATTAGTTGTCATCAATGGCATATTAAAAAGTCCAGTAATAACGAAGAACTCTGTTCTACAGTATTGTGAAAGTTGATAGCTATATTCAGATATCTTAAAATAGTATTTTAAACAGTAAAAGTAGTAATTAACCAATCTTAGCTCGCACATGGATTAGTAATTGGCCAAAAAGCTTCTCAATTCTGTATTTATTCAACTAATCTCTTATTCTCTTGACAAGTAGGATTGAGAATGATATAATTATTTGTGAAAAATTTTGTACAAGCTAAATCTAGTTATAGAATACACTTATTTGATCACATATGAAAACCAATTGAACATAGCGGTAAATATATCAAATAATGTCTGTCAGATTCTTTTAAATGATCAAGATTTTTGACTTCATGAATAATGCAGGAAATGGAGGAGAACATCAAGATAGTGGAGATGGATCGAGGTGACTTTATATCGAATATTAACAGCAGGGACAGCTACTCGATTTTAAGTCAACAACAGATTATTGATGATCGAATGGACAATAGAATGTCTACATATTACTCTCCTCAGCAGGTTTATCTAAAGCAGCAGGACTATCAGCAATACTCCCCTGCTCCTTCAGCAATCACAGAACTGAGTCCAAGAACTTGCAGTGGCCACTTTGAGGATTATTCTTTCGCCACTGCACAAAGCAGCCCACAGTGCTACTCTGCAGTATCGCGGCCAGATCCATCAAGGACTCCGTTTTCTTTTCCTCAGCCAGATTTTACAGAGACAATGTCGTATGATTTCCCTCTCTACCCGAACTACATGGCAAATACTCAATCTTCTAAAGCTAAAGTGCGGTCCCAAAGTGCACCAAAACAAAGGCCGGAGTTGGAGAGGCAACCAAGTCGTGGGCGAAGGCCTTCAGTTGAAGGGCGGAACATACCAAGGGGTGCAAAGATGCAACGGTCATCCTCACATGTTGGGTCTAATCCACAGAAGTACAATTATCCATGGTCTGTCAAGTTGGATAAGTCGAGTGTTTCACTTAGAGATAGTGAGTGTGGATCCACTTGCTCGATGGCTACCAATGCTTACTACTGCAGATCAGTTGTATCTTATGATGTAAGTAACAAAGCTTAAAAATTGCTAAGGTATAGTCAGAACAACTTTAAGTAGATTATATGTGAACTTTATAAGATATTTACTTAATCTTTTCGCTTTGTGAATGCAGCCAAGATGCTAAAGAGCTTCTATTTTAATGCTAACTCAACTCGAATGTCTGACAATGGTTTAGTTCACAGGAGTATAGAGCATTCAGAAGAACAATTCTGCTCCAAGATTGCTTGAAATTGTTTGGATTTAATTGGTGACATTTTGTAATAATTGATTAATTGTAAAAGAGTGGTATGTATCGGAATTTTTTATTTCTAGATTTGAGTTTGTTGAAGTTATTTGTATTTAACGTGTTCTTGGATTAATTAGTTAAAAAAACAGACATTTATGTGCAGAGAGTAACCACTATGCATAGCTTCTATATGGTCCATTTGGATGCTTTAAGTTGTGAGACTTGTGACCAAGAACATTGCCATAATGTAATTTGCCAATGTAATTTTTTTAAAAAAAATTTAAAGTAAAAAGTGTATAATGTCCTTATAACAAGTAGAACTAGGTTTATCATCTTGAAAGACATTTGATAATTATATCTAGGGGTAAACCAGTCATTTTCGATATAAAGTGTGTTTTAGGTGATTTTTAGTCCCTCGGGAGAGTTACGTCACCAAGACTAGTCCGGCGCGATCGATACCTACAAAACACGGAGACTCCGGTTGGTTAGAGCTCCGCCTCCGATGATCAAGTTAGAATCTGTCGAATAATCCGAAAAGTTGCAAAAAAGATAAAAGTAAGATATTCTAGGATTCCGACAACAAGTGTTTTTTCTGATGTGAGAGAATGTAGGGTTGTTGTAATAATTGAATGTGTCCCCAAATTGGGGGAAATCTCCCCCTATTTATAGGGTTGTTGAAAAATGTGCCCTTCATTAGGTCAGGATGACCTAATAGGCTGCGCCGTTTTGTGGCTTTTTTAGGGAATTGGGCCCTGAAGACCGCCATTCTATTTGTCATCTAAGTCTAACACGTGTCAGCTAGTGAGTGGCCCATGTTGGACCTGCCCAGGGTTGACATGTTTCCCTCTCTGATTAGGTCACGTATCTGGGGTATTTTTACCTTAAAAATTTGCCCCTCACAGGGGTTACGTGGCAGGCCACGGGGTGCTTGTGAGGCTGTGACACGCATTCCCCTACAAGTGGTGAACAGTAAAAAACTGTGCACCTTCGATCAAAGTGCCTGGGATGCCCCTTTTTTCACCTTTCTATAAATAAGGTTTTACCCCCTCTTTCCCTCTCATCTTTGACCATTTCAAAAAGTCTAGAGAGAGAAAGAGAGAGATTTTTCCAGAGAGAGACAATCTGTAACCGCTTGTAGCTACTTTTTCAGAAAGTTTTTGGTTGTAGCATTCTTGGACTCAACCGGCCACTGTGTGAGGCAATTTTTTAGAGTTTTAAATTAGAGGTAACCGTCTCTTCTCTTCTCAACTTTTTTGAATTTTTTCCGTTTGTATAAATATATGGAAATTTTGTCGAAAACCACCCGCTAAAAACACTTTTTTGTCAAAAACCACCCACTTAAAAATTTGTTGCCCAACACCACCCAAATTAAAATTTTTGTTGTCAATGACCACCTGACTCAACATTCTGGCATTGACCATAAAATCCGGCATTGACTTGGGGCACGTGACTTACACGTGACTTTTAATGACCCCCAAACCACCTTCGCAACCAATGTCGTTAACCCCACAATATGCACAACCGCCACAACCACCCCCAAATCAATCGAATTCCACCCCCTGAATCCACCCCTTCACATGAAACCAATTACATTGCCAAGAAAAAACCCCTACCTAGCCACGAAACGCAGCCACCACACCAAAAAGTCGAAAATCGACCACCTCCACCACCTAAATCCACCTCTTCTGCAGATCCAAACCTACCAACCAAAAATCCACCACGGCCGCTCTTCTCCTTTTCCTCAAATTTACCCACACCACTTCGAAAACCTACCCCCACCACTCGTAACCCTAGACCCACCACCAAAAACACCTCGCCCTACCTTGAAATCTTAGACCCACTACCCTATCCTTACGCTAATTCCTCGAAACCAACCCCACCACCTTATATTTGAGTCGGTGGAAAGTTTCTACCGGTGATGGACAATTGCGATAAAGGTGCGACCATAATTATGCTTGGAGCTTGCACATAGCAGAGAAGAGAGAGAACAAAGAGGTGGGATAGAAGAGATTGAAGTTAGAAAGAGAATGGAGGGCACAAAATTTTTGAAGGAGAAAAAGGGAAGGGGGTGGCACGTGCAAGTCACGTTGGGTAAGTCAATGTCGGAATTTTGGGTCAATGCCGGAATATGGAGTCAAATGGCGTTTGACAACAAATTTTCTAAATTGGGTGGTCTTGGGCAACATAATTTTAAGTGGGTGGTTTTTGACAAAAAAGTGTTTATAACGGGTGGTTTTTGACAAAATTTCCTAAATATATTTTTCCAAATAAAATGGATTCTTCGTCGACTCACACGACCCAACCTTGGTCATTCAGCTAGTCTCCTAGTACGGATGAGTCTAGAACTGGGGGTGTCGTCTCTAGACATTTGGACTCGCCTTGCTCATCCTCTAATCCCTTCATCTCTGTCTCTACGTAGGAGACGATGGCTAGAGTAAAGCAGACGGCTACCAAGCCTAAAATAGAGCATACTCTGGAAGTGCCCGCTGACGAGATTACTCCGGATGAGGAGTATGAGGGATCTAAAGAGAAAGCAGGCTCTTCGCCGGGTGGCACCCCTTCTACCCCAAGCGACAAAAACTTAAAAGAGGCAGACGGTGAAGGACTTGCCTTTGCTTCTGATCAGAACGAATCTGATCCGGAAGATGGACCGGAAGCCTCTAACCGGTCAGGATCCGAGACGTCAAGCTCGGGTCAGGCGGAGGCTAGCTATGAGGTTCAGCAGACAACAAAAGGCCCATCCACGTCCAAACATACTGATGCGCACATGTCCGCCTTTGACATTCAAACCCTGAAGTCTACCTTCAAGGCTTTTAAAGAAAAGTACCCCATTGGGGCTGATTGGGTGATTTGCATCCCGCCTACGGGCGCAACTGTGGCAGGGGATGATGATATTGCTAATGCCGACAATTATTTCAGCTACTATGAAGTTGTAATTAGAGCCGGCCTTCGCCTCCTTCTGCACAGGGGAATCAAGAGGATTTTGAAGGGGTATGAGTTGGCGTTTGGCAACTCACCCCCAAATCTTGGATAAACATACTAAGTTTATATTGTCGCCTATGAGTTCCAAACCATAGAGCCTAGTTTTGAGCCATTCTCCATATGCATTACATGAGCAGGGCTCCAGGCGGATGGGGGGCTGTAGACACCTAAAAATGTCTCCCCAAAACCAAACCCGATGATGAACACCTTTCGTCCCATTATTGGTCGGGTTGAGTATTTAATCTTTGGAGTGCTTAAATCCATTTTCTATCCAATATATTTCATAAACCAATCCAATTTCTAGCTCATTTCCAACATATTTTCCACTTTTCGTATCCACATCACAAAACCGAGATGAACTAATTTTATGGGTATATAATTTTGATCCAATTATTATTTGGTTGGATAGGCCTTGAAATAATCTTTCCAACCATTTATCATAAGCCCAATTCCGAACAATAACGAAAAAGATATGAGCCAAACACTAAACTCGGCCCAAAACCGATACCCTTCCACTAAAACGGCCATATCATAAAATATACAAATCATTTTGACCCTGAATCTAATTGAGTTGGAAAATATTCTTGATAAGATTTCCAATGATATATTATATGTCTTATTCCGAGTTACGGATCAAAAGTTATCTCAATTTTGAAAACTGGTAAAAAACTGGAATTACCGCGCACAGTGCAAAAGCACCGTGTCACGGCGCCTGATGACGTGGCACGGTGCCTGGTTCCATGACACGGTGCTTTATATCATTTAACGGTGCTATTTTTGAAGCTTTTTGTATCAAATTCCACCGTGGCACGGTACCTGTTGCCGTGACACGGTACCTGCTGCCGTGACACGGTATTTCTCACCGTGTCACGGTGCTTTTTTCCGTGTAATTTTTGCGTTTTCTTATACCGTGACACGGTGTACTATACCGTGCCATGGTGGACACTTCCATGTCACGGTACGTGTGCTGTGTCGCAGAATTTTCTAGTGTCTTTTCCGCGTAGACCCTTCACGCGCTTTCATTTCCCGTAGGTCAAATGTCTCGCGTCACTCTAATTTTCCCGAGTCACGAGATTTTCCCCCATCTAACGGTGCCTAAAACCGTGTCACGGTGTTCTCTGCTGTGTCGCGGTGTTAAATTTTAGTTTTTTTTTTCTTTTTAGGGTTCCGTGTGTTTCCTCTACTCATTTTCCCTGTAAATAAGACCCTCATTTCTACAGTTCGGGGCATCAATTCCTTCTCTCTTTCTCTCTTTTACACCAAAAATCATTCTCTTCTCTTTCTCTCATATTTTAAGCTTCAAACCTATATTCCTTATTACATCATTCTTCCCCTAAGCACTCCAAGGAGTCCATACAACACCCGAGGTTCCGTCCTTAAACCAAGGCGTGAAAGGTACCAATAACTGAGGGTTTGGACCAAATCAAATCTATATTTATTTAATTTAATTTCCATATGATTTATATTTCTTTATTGAAGTTACTAACAATTTATTCATAATGTAGCAATTTAAAGGAATGTGCGGAATGTGGGTAATTAATTAATTTAATTACTCTTATTTTATATTTGATTTGACTAACACTATTATTGTTAAATTGCTTTCAATACTAATGTTTATTTATTATATTTATTGATCACCATATTGCATGTTAAAAGGAATATGTAATTGAAAATCACGCCTAATAAGATAATTTGGACAACCGGCTTAGGTTCCTTTTTAATCTTGTTGTTAAATCAAGTGTTCACTAATATTTTAGAATTATGTGTTCCATTAATATTCAACCAATTTAGCTTAATAATAGATTGGAGCAAATTGAATTTTTGTTTGTATGCCTTTGAGATCGCAGGAATCACTTTTCACTATAAGAATCGAGTAGAGGCCAATACGGGCGAATGTGACTCCATGACTCACTTCGAACCATCATCCCCGATCCTCCTTTCGTGATTCTGAACCATATGGAGTTAGAAATCTCATGGATTATGAATGGGGTGTAACCTTCACGGATCAATCGTTGTTGCCTTTCGTTGTCCCTTTATTGTGGTTGCCTTTTTATGATCCATGAACGGTTTACAAGTTCCTTAAAAACTTGTTGGCGACTCCCTACTTTGCTTTGTCCCTAATCGTATATGACAGTTCTCACTTCCTATGAGTGCCAAGCATATTCACAACATGCTTTACGTAGGCGCACTTTGAACGACACCTATAGGGGCGTGGTATACTTTGACCACACACCCGTAATACTGATGACAGTAGACAAGCCATCTAAGTGGACCAGCTAGAAGGAGAAGTTTATTTGATTTCC